TACAGTAATTGTTCTGTCATAATTAAAATCACAGGGTCTGTGTAAGAAAGCTGAAACACAAACTAGAGGTTGGGAGGAAACATTTTTAATTTATTTATCTGATACAAGACTTATATTCAGGAAATAAAAAAATAATTTTTAAGACTCACTAATAAGAAGTTAATAAAATGTGTGAAAGTTTTGACACAATTCTTGAGGAGGCCACAGGAATGGCAAATTCACAACTGAAAAGCTAGTGAACTTAACTACTTAATAGGGAAGGAAAATCAAGACATACACTGAGGGTTGGACAGATAGCTCAGTGGATTAAAGTGCCTGCTTAGGCAGATGCAGGGATTGGTAGTTCAAGCCCCGGCCTGCCACGCTGGCCCCACCCCAGGGGCACGCTGAAACTGGGCATGGTGGCATACGCCTGTAATCCCAGCGCTTGGGAGGCTGAAAACAGAAGAATCACTTCAAGTCCGATCTGTGTAGTGAGACCCTGTAGACCCTGTATTAAACACATTAAAAAGAAAAAGAACACCCAGTTCCTCTGGCTATTTGTTGAGATAAACACACTTCTTTTTAATTTTTTTATTTTTATTTTTATTTTTTTGCGGAACCGGGGATTGAACTCAGGCCCTTGCACTTGCCAGGCAAGCGCTTATCCTACTGAGCTATTTCTCCGGCCCCTTACACTTCTTCTTTAAAAATGCCCATTTTAGTATGTCTGATGGGATCCTCCACCCTGGCTCTTCCTCAGGTTAGTATTGGCTGACAGTGTTGGAGGGTCTCTGCTCTGGAGGTGACAGTGAGGGGAGAGTATCCATGTTGTGTAAAAGTAGGGTGAATTTCTGACCATGATGGGACTGAATCTTTCATGAACAAATGACTAATGCTTATATATGTCATCTTCCATTGCAGTTCCATGACTTCTCTGTGACAAAACAAAAAATCATTGCTGAAGGATACTTAAATGCTAGGACAGCAGCATTGTGCACTAAAACTAAATGGTCAATTAACTACTAAAATAGGCCCCAAAAGTACATTTTTAAAAAATATTTCAAGCTAAATAAAGTGCTAGCTTTAGCAAAAGTGGAGTAAATAAAGCAAAAAGAAAACAGCTAGCCCAAGGTTCCAACACAAGCCATATGCTTTTTCTGGGGCAGAAAGCCCCAAGTGGTCACGAGCACGTTCTCCATGAGTCCCTGGGGCCGCACACTGGGGCTGACACCGACGGGCTGCTCATCTTCCTGGGCTGCAAAGCGAAAACTAGGGTAATGAGCTGATGCCTGGGACCGTGCAGAAACCAATAAAGGCAGGAGTGAGCCGGCTGGTAATGAGCGTCCCTCAGCTGCTGTAAATTAAGTGTGCTGAATCAGAACTTTTAAAGCAAAAATCCAGAGAAACTGTCAACTGGCCTAAAAAAACTGACACAACTGAAGAATGAGATGAGCTGGCACTGACATCCCACCTTAATGACAGTTTCTAATACGTTCCTAATAGAGAAAGGCAATAAGTGATTGTATACTTCATGATCAGCAACAGATAGGGTTACTGAGGGCTATTACAGAATTATTAGTCCCCTTAGTACATGAGAAACAGGAAAGACTGCAGAAGCCACCTATAAGGACAGCTGTGTGCACTGCACCTGCCTGAGCCAGCCATAGGCCACCAATGTGGGAGAAGGGCCTCAGAGTCCCTGGGTCTCCTGGCCATCTGGGAGCATCACCTCTAATATTCCTTACAAAAGATGACTCTGAACTGATAGGACAGGGTGACTTCCAGCCCATGCTCTTGGCTGATCCCAAGCTCTGAGAGCTGGCTGTTCACAATGCAAGGCTTCCCACAAAAAAGCACTGGGTACTCTTCCTATGAGACTGCAGGGCTTTGAACACACAGGTGCTGCCTCCAGAGGACTGCATGGCCTTCCCCTAACTCCGGAGGCAGGGGAAGGCCATGCACATATACACACATGCGTGCACAGAACCCAGGTGTGCGCACTGTCCTTATAGGAGGTGGCCAGGCTCACCACTGGGTTTGGGCTTGGCTGTTCCTCCAGGTTGGGGCTGTGACCTGCTGCAGTACATGGAGCATCTCCTGGGAAGAGGGTGGTGCTGCCTGCCCCGCCCCGCTGCCTGACTCCCCAGCTAGGCAGGGACTCCCAGATAGATGTGAAGATTTGGCTGAGTAGCTGAAAGGCATGCCTGTGCCCTAGAAATGAGGTAGAGATGGTGTCCAACAGAACCTGACAACGGTCACTTAAATATTTTAAAGGAGTTGTCAATTGTAACAGGTAATCATGCTCCTGTTGAAGTCACTTCCCATAGAAGAATTTTTAAAAGCTGAAGCTGCCTTCCCAGGGCTGCCCAAATGCTGTCTGGACGCATTAAGATCCTGACCCTTACACTGCTTTGTTTGCTTTTGTTTTGTTACAATGCTGCCATCAAAATCACCACTACAGAGAGCCCAGCCCACAGCCTTGGAGCAGCCAGCTTACCACCAAGGCCCTGCAGCCACCACAGGTGTGGGCACTGTCAACACCACTAGCCTTTCTTTTTGCATCCTTGGTGAGCTAGGGACCCAGGGACCCAGTGACCCACAGGGGTCAGCCAGATGCTGGCACTGCCCCAAAACATGCAGTGTGAAAGGGGACACAAGGAAGGAGAAGTCATCCATCAGGCTGCCACTGCAGAGGGGAGCAGGCACCTCACAGCAGGGCCTAGGCCACAGCAACTCAAGAACTGCATGTTTGATACAATGCTGCATTTATGCTGAATTAAAAATTAAAGTCATGCCATTTCAACCTTAGGGCTGGCTAGGGTTATTTTCTTCCTCCAGGGGAACTGTTGGAATTGTACAACTGTGCAGGGCTCCACAAAACCTCAGGCAGCAGAGCACTGCTTAAGGCTGGGCTCATCACTGGGCATAGGACAAACTGAGGCATGTAAGCTGCCAAGCAGGAGAACTAAAGTGGGGTGCATGTTGAGGCTTGGCACATCCCCCAGGCGGTGCATCCTCAGAGGAGGCAGAAGGCCAAGGGGGGACTGCAAAGCTGAGTGTACACAGTACAGGTGCTGGGAAATGGAGATGGTTTGAGGGTGGCGGGGGGGGGAGAAGATGACTTTATTCACATGTAATACTGGTAACTTTAGGATCTATCACATAGATGGAGGCTTCATTATCATTTATAGATATGTACAGTCTGTCCTTTATATAAACCCTGAAGGAAACAAGCTCCCCTTCTACATAGCAGCTGCAGGTTCAATGCCTCAGCACAGCGGTTACACTGGTGGAGTGATGACTTCTTGCAGATCTTAGCTAAGGACCAGATGCAGTACTCAGGCAGGTCCTGAGCAACAACACTGTGCATCTGCTGCATGCCATGCATCACACAATGCGTCAGAGTCTGGAAATGAAATCATAATGATACATGACACTAAGCCCTTGCCAGGGGTTGGCTAGCTTTGTGTCTACAAGGTGTGGTGCTAGAGGCTCAGTCCTTAGTGCTGCTATTTTTTTTTTTTTTTTTTTGTGGAACCGGGGATTGAACTCAGGCCCTTGTGCTTGCCAGGTAAGTGCTTATTCTACTGAGCCATCTCCCCGGCCCCTGGAGCCATCTCCCCGGCCCCTTAGTGCTGCTATTGAGAGCGCACCTGCAAGAGGTGACAGAGGAGGACATGGTCAGTGGCTGACCTTTTAGACCTGCAAAGGGGTGCAGGGGTGTGCTGACTCATTGTCCTTAGTAGGGGTTAATGCAATTCCTGTGCACTGTGTTCAGTTCTGGAGAGACTTAGCTGTCATCGCAGTGACCCTGGCCCCTCTGGCTCCCTGGTCACTTCATGAGATCTTTTGCATGTGTTCCTGCTGTTGGGTCTCTTCCCACTTCCCACAGGCCTTCATGCATGGTAATGAGGTGTATCAGCCCAGTGAGAGGTTCGTTCAGTCTTCAATGCTGTGAGCTAAAATTATCTCTTTCCTTTATAACTTCCACCCTTCAGTGTTTTGCTAGAGCAACAGAAAATGGACCAGGAAAGCACTGTTCACTCAAATCTAGTAAACAAAGAGCCAAGGGGGGAAATTTACTTTCTGGTCCACAGTAAAGCATGCACCAACACACAGAATGTACTCCAAATGGTAGGGACACTCCTACTCACTCATCTCCACCAGTATATCAGGCGACTCTTTCTCTTAAAATACTCATGGCAACAGGGGCCTTAAGATTTCCCGGGGATACCTTTGCCTTTTCCCCAACCCTGTGTACTCCCACCATCTATCAGTATGCTTCCCAATAAAAACTGCACACTGCTTCCTCTCAAACCAAGACATGCTGTAGCCAAGCACGGGGTGAGGCTGAGTCCACACCACCAAAAGAAGCGGGTTTTAGTGTAGCATTACATTTTTAGTTTTGAGCTAAAAAAAAAAAAAAATGTGAGTAAAATGTTATCTTTCAAAAGGGCAAAAAATACCTTAACTGTGTCCTTTTAAGTATGGGTGGGCTTAGAAGTTAGGACCCTTGAATTCAAAACTCCTTTTCACTGTACTGTTAGCCACTGAAACTCTAAAAGAGGAAAAGAAACCAGTAATAAAGTGCATTAAAGACCAGAGCAGATGCTACTGAGAAGGATTCTGGGTGTCAGGTGGGTGGCTCCACATGAGCAGGGGGCTCAGCCAGCCTTTGCCTGGGTCACTTGGCAATGCCGATGCTTCCTACTTTCAGTGTCTCTGAGTCCTTGCCACTGAGGCTGGAACACACACACAATATGCAAGTAGGGAGACACAGGCACCAGGTTACTTGGTTCTTCTGTTCTATGCAAGGCCCTTGCTCCTCCATCACACTCCTCAAAGCAAAGCATCCTGCAGCCTAACCTGAAGCCCCGCCTCTTGCACTGTTCTGTGGCTGCGCAGCATCAGGCCAACTGAGGGGTGGCAAGTAAGGACCTGGGTATGGTAAGCACACTGGACCTGGGAGTACCTATGCACTTGGGAGCCTGGGACAGGGTGACCGCGCTGGTACTTGCCGCTGAGCAGGGGCTTGTTGAGGGTGTAGAGTGGCGGCAGGTCCTCTATGTTGGAGATGCGCTGGTACATGGCCCGGGAGAGATGGTCCCCATGGTACAGGCTGCCCAGGATGATGCTGGAGAAGTAGATGGGCTCTATGAAGATGCTGAGCAGGGATCCCTGAATGCCCACCACGTTCCAGCTGCAGGGAGAGATACAGGTTCAGAGGGAGAAGAGCTGATGGCCCTGTGGCACATTGGCAAGGCTATTAGATGAGTGAACAGCTGACCTGGGATCTACAATTGTCAAGAAGAAAAACCAATCTTAAAATTAACCTGTGAAGTGACTCTGGGCCACTGTGTTCTTCCATGATGACACACTTATGGAGGCTCTTTGCAAAAGGGTTCCCAGTGAGTCAGGTATGCTTCCTGAGCAGTGCTCCCTGGAAGAGCACATCTTTATCAGCTCTTCCAGGAGTCCCTCACAATAAGGGCCTTGGCTTTTCCCACTCCTCTGAACTCAGCCCTGGGATCCAGGCTGCCTCAGAGGGTATGAGGTGCTTCCTACCACACACAGGACACAATGGTGGGAGCAGCTGCACTGACACACTGGTGATGGAGGAGGGATGCTGAGGTGATGTTTACCATCCCACTTATTGAAGAGGACAGCAGCCCAACTGCTCTGCATTCACTGCTGTATTTTAGCTCCAGGGGTGGGAGAGATGACACAACACTGTGGCTTGGACACTGCTGTTCTCCAAGCACTTGCTGTGTGCAGCACAAGTGACTGGGTATATAAGGACAGACAAGGGAGGACACTGCTAGGTGTAAACAATAAAACAACAAAAAGGCCAATAATAAGTGAAGAGCCATGTTGAGGTCAGATCAACTGGAATGAAAGGACAGGCTTCTGTGAAACAGAGAAAGGGAGTCCTAACATCAGAGGAGGATCCTGGGGCTATGGCCTCAAGTGGAGGAAAGTGCCCCTCAGCCCAGGAATGGTGGATGCAGGACAAGATGGGAGGGCCACAGAGAAGAGGCCAGCACACAACTCTGAGGCAGTGGTTGTGTCTCACATGACACAGGTGTCCCACACCTGGTAGGTGCTGACCAGGTGCACATTTCAGAAAGTGGTGGCAGCAGAGGAGGGTGGTCATTGGCACAGGGATGGGTCCCAGCAGCAGCAAAGGTCAGGAGTAAGGGCCAGAGTGGCAGAAACAGGGAAATGAGGGAGATGCTGGAAACAGTCAGGTCAGACTCAGAAAGTAGGGGACTTGGGACTAGCAGAGGACTCATATCTCAGAACTTGCAGTTGACTACCCTCCTTGCCTTATGATGCCATAGTGATCCAAGCCCTTTGTCCCCCACCCCAGAAATGCAGTGAAAGGCATGTGCCTTATGAGCCTCAGAGGGGCACCATGTTTTGGCACTTGCAGACGGGAGCCTCTGGGGCAGACCAGCACCCAGCCTACCCAGCCCCCATCTCCAGCTGCATAGACAGTAGCCAAGAGGTTACAAAAGACTTTTAAAAACTAGAATTTTCTTCTTCCAGAGATAAACTGTTTCTCCAAATTTCCTCATGCTGATGGCATAAACTGCCACCCCATCCTGTGTCAGAGATCCATCTAGGGGAAACATATGGATGCTGGTCTAGGAGGCTGGAGTCAGTTTTGTCTCCAAAGGGGAAGAGAGAAGTCAAGAATATCCAGGGCTGAAACTATATGGGAATTGTCCTCTGCTGTCTCACTGTATTCTTCTTCCTTCTTCCTTTCAATAAAAGCCCTTGTACACCTAAATGTGGCAAGATGGAGATATAAGGCAATAAAGGGGCTGTCACCTCTGGAGACTGCTTGGAAGAAACATTTCTCTTTCTGCCAAATCAAACAGCCTCTGTGTTTCTTGGGAACATCAAGTAGTATGGACCTGAGTAGTTAGAAACAGTTTTGGTGAGCCAGTCAGGAGGGAGCCCCAGCTGCTGAGCAGGAAGGTCACCTGGTTTCCAAGGTGGGAGGGTGATAGTTGCCTAGGAGGGTGACTTATTGCTGGTGGTAGCTGAACCCATGATCAATACTTCAGGGCCATCCCAGAAGCTGCCAGGACACCTGGCCCCCAAGTAACTTTCCCTTCTTCCCTGTTGGTGGCTTCAGCTATCTGCAAACACTTTTGTTGGAGAAACAAAAGGGTTTCTAGGGAGCTGTTGGGCTCCTCCTGGATGTTCCACTTGAAGTGCATACCAGGGGCCTTAACTCTCCACTGCTTTCAGGCTCATGGAGTAGTTTGGGCCTCTCTACAGTAGGGGCTGGCACGAGTAAAGGCATCCCACCACTGGGGCTTCTACAGATCATGCTAGTATATAGACTGCAGCAAGGAAAAAAATCCCAGGAAATTTATTTTATTTGGAGAATATTCATTTGGGTTTGGTTTGGTTTGGTTTTCCTTTGTCTTTCTTATAACCACCTTTAGTTCCAAGATGGGCAGTAAGGTTTCAATCAATATTATTTAGGAATCCTCTAGAGATGTCATAAACAACTGGACAGATCACAACCAAATTTCTATGACCAAAAGGGGCTGATATACCTAGCACTGCAACACTGATGGCTTGAATATGTACTATATTCTGAAGAAACATCACCTGACAGTTTATTATTGTATAATTGTAATATTTTTGTCAAAAGCAGGTAAATAGGGGTAAAAACTACAGATATAAGCATTTACGTTATTGTGTAATGAAAACTCTAAAAAGGAGAGAGCTAAATAAATGGTTTAAAAAGAAGAGAAAGGTTTTTAAACCCAGAGCAATAATATTTTAAACACTGAATAAAACCTATGATAAGGTAGATTCAAAAAACTTTTGTTTTGTTGTGTGTGTCGTAGTAGCTATAACTGATCTGGCCTGTCATTCTCATTTTTTATGTGGTTTAAAGCTAATAGTTTTAAGGAATGTTAAAAAGATTTGCTTGCCTTTCTGCAATAAACTGCTACTGTTTTCTCAAGCTTTTTTTTTCTTAGATTTTGGGGAAAATAAATCTTAGAAAGTTACAGTTTACACAGGCATCATTTATTTTTTTATAATTTTGGTTAAATTATTATTATATGTGATATGCCTTATTTTTAAATATTTAATTGTCTGGCTATCAAGTAGTCAATCACAGTGATTGTCTTATAGACTGTAAAAGCAACTGCCCTCTTTTTCTGGATTGCTAATATATTACTCAAGACATTCAGCTGGTAAGAGCTTTGTTTCTCTTGGTCAGTAAGAGGTGATCTTACTTTATGAAAAATATACATGTTTCTAATTGGTAAATGAATAATTCTTGTAGTTAGTATTCAAAACTTTTGCAGTTCTGTTGTGTGTACCTAATGAATTCTAAAGGTGTTACTAAACTCAGTGGTTAAAATATGATTAAACAATGTCATTTCTTCCCAAATGTGAACTCAAATTAGTTTGTAGGGACAGGACTCTAAAAATATGCTTAAATGTACCTTTCTGACAGAACCCAACTTGTTTTATAGGCCAAATAGGTTTGTTTGTTGTTGGTTTTTTTTGACAAGATCTAGATTTTACTCTTCTTAGTTGAACATTAGCTTCTATATTTTTAACTTTTGCTTGCCAAAGTTTTTTTTGTTTTGTTTTGTTTTTTTAATTTTAAAAGAGAATTTTAGGGCTGGCTAGATAGCTCAGTGGATTAAAGTGCCTGCTTAGGCAGACAATGAGGTGGGAGATTCCATGCCTGGCCTGCAGCGCCAGCACGGCCTCTGGGGCATGCTGAGATGGTGAGTGAGACTGAGTGTTGTGGCGCATGCCTGTAATCCCAGCATTTGGGAGGCTAAAAACAGGTAGGATCAGTATGAGTCCGATCTGCGTAGTGAGACTCTGTAGACCCTGTACTAAATACATAAAAATTTTTTTTTAAACTATAAAAATAAAAATAAAAAACTATAAAAATGATCCAGAATTTCAAAACAAGATGCTGGTAAATTAACAATGGTTCTTATATTGCATGTTGTTATTACTTCCATCGAGGTTGCCAGCTGGCTAAAATGATGTCAAAATTGGTTTGATAAAGGCCGGGGAGATGGCTCAGTAGAATAAGCGCTTTCCTGGCAAGCGCAAGGGCCTGAGTTCAATCCCCAGTTCCGCAAAAAAAAAAAAAAAAAAAAAAAAAGGTTTGATAAATGTAATACATATTGCTGTTTATACATTATAACTTGAGAGTCTCTCATTTGTTTATACTTAATGTGTTGAGTATTGAGACTGTACTTTTATGGGTCACAAGTTAACTAAAAAGAGAACCCTTAGGGTAGGAAGAGACTATTGGACAAGACTCCTATTGATGGATTAAAAAAGAAGCTGCCTAAGGGCCGGGGACATAGCTCAGCAGCATAAGCGCCTGCCTGGCAAGCGCAAGGTCCCAAGCTCTATCCCTGGTACCGCCCTCCCCCACCGCTGCAAAAAAAAAAAATTATAAAAAACTGCCTGGAATACCATTAACCAGTTTTTAATCACTAATGAGCCCCAAAAGTTTCCACAGCCTTATGGGAGACACCCCAATAAATATTGCTCAAAATATATTATTACAATATGGTTACACTGTTCATTGTCAAAAGATTCAATTTTCAAAAATAAGACAATAACTTTTTTGATTAAAAGATGCTTTTGGTACAAAACTAAACTTAAAAACAAAATATTGATAATTTATTATTGCTAATATCATGGTGTATTAAATGAATTCATGCCTTCCAAGTGTACAGCACTCTAAAATGTAAAGCTGAGATTGTTTATAGTGGTATTTTCTTTTAAGCAGAAGGGGTTTTTTTTTGTTTTTTTTTGCTCCGAATGCCTTCAGGGCAGGTTTGGCTGGCTTGAGTTGTGGGGATTGAACCACAGCAACCTGAGCTTGACTGCTCTGTTGAAGCAGCCACTTAAAGAACTGAGCTAAGGGGCAGGCCCCCGGTATTTTCTTTTAGATTTAAACATATAAAAAGCATAGCCACAAAATGTATAGAACTATGTCCAGTTTTCCCTAACCATAGTTAACAGGTCATAAAAACATTGCCTTTCTCTTGTGCTCCACATATTTATAATCAGAGATTTATAGCAAGCCAACATGAGGTCATCAGTCAAATGACAATTTTCTAACAAAATGTATGTGATATGTGTGTTGTGTATGTGCTGTTACATTTAAGAGATGCTCAGCCAAAG